TTGAGCTATAGGCGCCGAGCCTATTCTAATAATCTTTATGTTACCTTTTCTATGAATTTTTGTGCATTTAGCCACAAATTCAATCCTTCTGTAAAATTCGTGTTTCAAGGGATCCATTTGAGGGAGATAGTATATGGTATGGTGTCCTACCTTTTGAATTTTATAACTACGAAAAGAGTTTTTTTTTTTTTTAAATGGGGACGATATTTGGAAAACTGCCAATTTGCAGTTTTGCCAAGAAAAGATATTTAAACATAGCTGCTTGCTATTACTATCATACTATACAAAGACATTTTGACATCAGAAAGAAAAAAAAGTTGAATCACCTAAAGAATCTTCAAATGAATTTAATAAACTCCGCTATTAGAAAATCTTTCTACATATTTGTCATTAATTTTCTAAATTTGCCATAAAATTGCACAGTCTGAGGTCCTGTGTTATAGAAAAGCTGTAGGAGAGAGAAGAGCCATCTATTAACTCAAAGATCAAAGGCTTCCTCAGTAGGCTCCCTAATCCTTCACCCCTTCCTCCCTCTTTCTTTTCTTTTTTTTTTTTTTTCTGAGACAAAGCCTAAAGTTGTAGCCCTAGGTAGAGTGCCATGCCATCACAGCTCACAGCAACTTCCAACTCCTGGGCTCAAGTGACTCTCCTGCTGCCACCTCCCAAGTAGCTGGGACTACAGGTCCCAGTCACAATGCACAGCTATCTTTTGGTTGCAGCCATCATTGTTGTTTGGTGGGCCCAGGTTGGGTTTGAACCCGCCAGCTCAGGTATATGTGGCTGACGCCTTAGCTGCTTGAGCCACAGACACCAAGCCCCTTTTTCTTATTTTGAGACAAGGTCTTGCTCTGTTGCTGGGGCTAGAGTGTAGCAGTGACATCATAGTTCACTGCAATCTCAAACTCCTGGGCACAAGTAGTTCTCCTATCTCAGCCTCCCTAAGTACCTGGGACCACAGGCACACATCACCAGATCTCCCTGATTTTTCTATTTGTTGGATAGAGACAGGGGTCTCACTATGTTGCTCAGGTTCGTCTTGAACTCCTGGCTTCAAGTGATCCACCTCGGCCTCCCCAAGTGGTAGGATTACAGGCATGAGCCACTATGCCTGGCTCCTGAACACTTAAAAAGAAAACTGTAGCTAAGCAAAAGGGTAACATGGCCTGGACCCACTGGATCTGATGCTTCACTACAGCTTGCAGCACTCATTCTCAACCTATTGGAAGCTTAGGGAGGGAAACAGTTGTGGTTATGGTAACCATCAAGATAAGCGCGAGGAATGCAATAATTCACATTTGTATCAAAACAGAATATAAAATGTAATGACTCATGTGTTTGTGTGTATGATGGTAAAAATGGGCCCTAAGATTCAAACAACCACTGGTCTATAGAATAAAGTCCTTGAGGAGGTATACAAAGCCCTTGCTATTTTAGCCCACATTATCCTTTGAGCTTTCTTTCTGGCCACCTAAGCTGTTCTATTTCCTGCACCTGTATGTCTAAGCATAGCTTGCTCCCCTATCCAACTGTTAAACTGGACCCCTATCCAACTGTTAAACTGTAAGCATCTTTTTTTTTTTTTTTTAAATCCTTCTTCACTTGACAATTTTCTAAGTACACGTTATGTTCCAGGCATGCCATTTTATTATACTTTATGGCTCTCTCTGCTACCTACACTCAGGTTAAGGGAGCAATAAAGACTGCTCCCAGCTGTGTTCTCGGCTCAGTACAGACAGCTGTCACAGCACTTATGACATTACTTCCTCATCAGTATCATCTATTTGGCCAAGCTGCCCAACAGAAGCCAGCCTTATTCATTCTGCAGGCTAGGAATATTTTTTTTTAACTGAACTATAATGACTTCTGAGATCTGGATTATGAGACTGTCTAGAAGAAAAAGTTGGTAATCCTAGCACTCTGGAGGCTGAGGCAGGTGGATTGCTCCAGCTCATGAGTTCCAGACCAGTTTGAGCAAAAGTGAGACTCTGTCTCTACTAAAAACTAGCCAGACATTGTGACTGGAGTCTATAGTTCCAGTTATTTGGGAAGCTGAAGCAAAAGGATCACTTGAACCCAGGATTTTGAGGTTGCTGTGAACTATGAGGCCATGGCACTCTACCCAGGGCACAGAGTAAGACTCTGTCTCCAAAAAGAAAAAAAAAAAAAGAAAAGAAACAGTGGTGAGTGAATGTATGAATGAAAGCATTTCTCAAGGGGTTCTCTATAACCACCACCTCACTCTAATTAGAACTCTGCTGGACTGTCCTATGGGTCAGGGGGCTTGAAAAACTTCTGAGTCTGGAATGGCTTATAAAGAACGATAGGGTTATTCTGGTCCCAAATTCCTTACTTCCAGTAACAAAATAATCATTTATGTCATTTAAAACAAACAACCTCCTCATCCCTACCCGCACTCACACATTTACGAACTAATCATGTGATTACTTTCCTAAATAGGCAAGAGCTAATGCCAATTTGGATGCTACAGATTTTTTTCCACAATGATTGGAACCAGAAATAGCAAGCTTCTTTCAAAGAAATACTGCCTTCGAAAAAGTAGAGAAACAGGTTGGCTGCTTCCTGCCAGGCACTCCAAGCCCTGCTCTTGGAAGGAAATACTATCTTGCCTTCTGTCAAAGGGCAACACCAGAGGATGGAGCAAATTCCCTGAATTCCCACTGATAATCAGGGAACAGGTTAACTAAGCTAAGAGGTCAGGGCAAGAACTCATCCTAGAAAAAGTGCTACATATCTCACTGCTGAACATCACTACGGTCACCTTTGAAGTACTCCCCTTGGGAAGCTACACACCAATGCCAGCACCTAGTCCACCCTTTCAAAGCAATTTTTGAGCTCTTTTCCTAGAATAGCCATCAGTGCTGTCCTTGTAGGAAGTCTGACAGTTAAGTTCTTGAACACATCCTAGACAAAGTGCTATATACCTTGGTGCTGAATGTCACTATGGTCACCAAATGGCCAAGAGAGTACTTGGAAGGAGAGTGTAAGTGCTATTGAGTAATGAGGTATGGTAGCATTTTTTCTAATATGAGTTCAGGAACTTAAAACTGTCCAAACTTGTAGGTTAACATGCAGTATGCAATTCTCCTTTGGGGAGACCTTCAGCACATCAAAAATATATTAAAATCCCACAATTATAACAGAGGCACAAAGTTCGCTTGGACAGATGAGGAAACCAAATACAAACTTCATATTCTTAACTTCTTCTTTTTTTTTTCAATTAAATGGTAACTATGTACATTAATGCACTTCTGGGGTACAGTGTGGGGTTTTCACACACAATCTGAAACACTTCCATCAAACTGGTTAACATAGCCTTCATGTCATTTTCTTAGTTATTATTTTAAAACATTCACATTCTACTCTTAGAAAGATTCACTTGTACCCTTGTAAGATAAACCTCAGAAGTGATCCCTCCAATCCCCCTCCCTCCACCCATTCCCCCCTCCCCGTATTCTTAGGCTGTTATTAGGTTATAGCTTACATATAAAAGGTATAAATTAGTTTCATAATAGGGGTGTGTACATTGGATACTTTTTCTTCCATTCTTGTGATACTTTGCTCAGAAGAACATTTTCCAGCTCCATCCATGTGAACATGAAGGACGTAAAGTCTCCACCTTTCTTTATGGCTGCATAGTATTCCATGGTGTACACATACCACAGTTCATACTCTTAACTTCCATACTGAGTATCTTGCATACCAAACAAACAACTGGCCAGACAGCATACGTAACAGTGTTCTTAGGATCTTTTTTTTTTTTTTTTTTGAGACAGAGCCTCAAGCTGTCCCCAGGGTAGAGTGCCCTGGCATCACAGCTCACAGCAACCTCCAACTCCTCTGCCTCAGCCTCCCAAGTACCTGGGACCACCGGCGCCCACCACAATGCCTGGCTATTTTTTTTTTTTTTGGTTGCAGCCATCACTGTTGTTTGGTGGGCCAGGCTGGATTTGAACCCGCCACCTTAGGTGTATGTGGCTGGCGCGTTAGCCACTTGAGCCACAGGCGCCGAGCCTGTTTTAGGAGCTTATAAAATGTGTTTTTACCTTACCTTTTCCATGTTTAGATACACAAATTCTTATCATTGTTCCAACACGTATAGGTTTGTAGTCTAGGAGCGACAGACTATATATTATACAGCCTAGGTGTGTAATAGGCTGTACCATCTAGGTTTGTGTAAGTGCACTCTGTGATGTTCACAAAAGAAGAAATCACTTAATGACACATTTCTCAGTAAGTGAGTGCCTTAAGAAACTCATGACTGTATTAAATTCAATGCTACTTTTTCAGTGAAACCAATTCTGATTACCATTTAAATTCACAAGTGGGTAACAGGTATTACATGGGGATAAATGGCAAACCTCCTGGGTGAAGGACTCAACTGCAACTCGGATGTTACCTAACAAACCCTTACATTAATCTAAAACTTAAAATTGTAAAAAAGAAAGAAATGCAATTCCCTCTGAATATAAAAAAAAAAAAATTCACAAGTGGAGGCCCACTCTACTCTTCAACCCTCATCCCCCTATTTTTTTCTCTATCATTCAAATTATGCACATATAAGAAATTATATATACACAAACGCGTGTATTGCTTTTCCCATGCTAGAATTCACAGCCAGAGGAAAAAGATCTTGTTGACCAATACACCCCACATACCTAGAAAAGTTTCAGGAACAGAGTAGGCACTAGTGCTCCACGAATGAATTAATGAATTAGAGTTTGCAATCAAATTGTAATACAATCTCTTCATTTCCCAGAGCTTCGCTCCTCAAATCTGCATGCCTCCTGCACACTCCTGTGTCACCCCTTCAGGCTGACAGGCTGCACAGCTGACGCTCAGGCTGCAGACCCTAAAAATGGGCGCGCATCATCTCACCGGCCACCACGCTCCGCCCTTAAATACTTGGGCCAAGAACTTTGCGCCTGGGATTTCCAGGAATTCGGCTCTTCTAGGCAGATGAGACTCGGCTACCGTGGCCCAAAAAGGCGGGCCCAGACCTTCGCCCCAAGCGCCGGGAGGACGCCTGGTGACCTCGGCTGGCTCGACCTCCCGGTCGCCGGGCCTGTCCCGCGGCGCGAGCCCCCATCTCTCCCCGCCCGGTACTCACCTCGTCTGCAGAAAGCGAGGGCGGCCGCCGGGCCG